ATATATATATATATGTATATATATATGTATATATATACATTCAATCCTATTGCATCAGGACCAAAATGATGGTACTAGTAACAACCACAGTCCTTACAGTCAAACTCTTTCAAGTACTTCCTGTCACAGGTTCTGAGCAAAAGCCCTGTTGTTGGTGGTTTTTCCCTGTTTCATAGAGGAAGAAATCCTGTCTCAGAGTTAAATGAGTTGCTCAGACTGTAGGGCAACCCAGATCTTTTTTTTTTTTCCTGTACAGGGGATTAAACTCAGGACCTTGCACTTGCCAGGCAGGTGTGGTGCCACTGAGCTACACCCCTGGTCCCTCAACCCAGATCTTTTTATGCTGAACTACGTGCCACACTACTTCTCCGACACTGTCTGTCTTCTAGTCTGTGATTCCTTTCCTTTCATCATTATCCCCAGCAATCAGAGGGTGAGGTGACTTCACCTTCACGGGTGGGGAGAAGTCACTTTTGTCTGTATGTCACACATGTTGTCAAGTTTTCTTTCATGAAGCATGGAATATTCTAATTCTATGAATTAAAATAAATAGGTAGGGGCCAATATTCTTTTCTTTTTAAATTTCTGATTTTGGGGAAGAAGAATCCAGAATACCGTACCCTTTAAAAATCTTGGATTATACTTATTGTACCTGTTTTGATTGCAAATTGTCTGAAGATGAGAATATAGTTCCAGCTTTTTCATATTTGAAGTTCCTTTATTCATCAGCTGTATTGGCTAGTCCTGAAAATTTGCTTATAATTGTCAAAACATATGAAACTGAGTGTCGAATATTCAGTCTCATATATGGTTAATGACCAAGTAATCATTATGTCTATGTTAAAATTACTATGTGTAGTTTAAAAAATTATAGATCAGTCAGGTAAATTGTACTTCATTTACATACAAGTTAATGATATTTTTACGTGTAAGAATCATAATGCAGAGGCAGATAGATAAAATTCCTCAAGTCAGGGGTTTTCTACAATTCCTTTGGACATGAAGAAGACAGAGTCTGGGCCCATGAAGCACACAGGACCTATGGCACATACAGCTTATCACAACCGAGCCACAAAGCCCTCAGTCAAGTTCAACCAACAGCTGCCAAAATGTCATTCAACAGTTTTCTTTGGTCCTATTTAGTTTGTGCCAGTTGATAAACAAGAGGCTTTGATGACCACATTTTGGGTCTTAAGTGATATAATAAACTCAGCAATTTTTCCGTGTGCACCCCCACCACAGTAAAAATTGCAAATGTGCATGGTAAGATGTTTGTGATTTTCTTTTTCCAATAAATTTTGTCTGTCACACCATGAGAAGAAAGCCAAGGGACCTCTTTACCCATGCTCACTCACATCTTACCTTGGGACACTAGGTGGCGCCCTCGTGGGCCGAGATGGGACCTGCGGAGGGGCTCCGAAGGAGTCACTGCTGTTAGGGAAAGGAGGTAATGGCCCTGGACGAAAAGGAACTGGGGGAGCCCCCGAGTGGGGGCCTGGAGAGGGTATGGCAGGAGCTGGTCCTCGGCCCGAAGTGGGTCTTGTGAGTGGAGCACTTAGTGTTGGCCTCCTCTGGGTTGTGGGGCTTGGAGGAGGAGACCTGAAGAAAGAGATAGTCATTTACCCACCCTAGTTTCTCTCTGAATTAACCTTTTAAAATGTTTTGTAATTTTCTGACTTTTTCAAAAATATATTTGACCGTGTGATTCCGAGATATTTTCTGAAAGTCAAAAGGTATAAAAAGGCAAATGGTAGAAAGTAAGTTTCCCTCCCCTTCTTCTTCTACTCGATGGAGATCACAAGCAGTAGTTTCTGGTGTGTTCTTTTAATTACATTTTACATCCGGACAAGTATACACCTTTGATCTAGAAGTAAATTGCTGTTTGTACATCACAGAATACAACAGAATGCTCTACAACTTCCTTTCTATAAAACTTCATGTTGACTGGATGAACCTTTCATTTGGGGACTTATTGAACTGTCAAGTTGATTTTAATGGCCGTGTACAATTGCCCTGGAAGTATGCACTGTGCTGGTTTGCTTTTTTCCATTGAGGTTTTTGGTACATTCTAGGTATACAGTACAGTTCCATTCATCATTGGGATCTTGTACCTTTACACGACAGGTCTTGGTTCTCATTTTTTCTTTCACTCCCTCTACCTCATGGTGCTTGTTTTTGAAGGGAGCTGGTATAATCCACTCCACTTTTCCCCCCAACTCCTGAACTTGAATAGATTTCTCCTTTTTTTTTTTTTTTTTTGGCTTTAGGTTCATAGTTGTTTGGGAAAGTGTTCTCAGAAAAGGATACCAGCAAGCACAGGACTCTTGTGGTGCTGTGGAATCATGTCCCTACCTGCGAGAGTGCTGGATCCAGGAGTCATCCACCGGAGGTGGTGCTGGGGTGGACACAGTGGCTGTGCTGATGTCACCAATGATCACTAGGGCTTCTTTCAGGGCTTGGTACATTCGAAGCATCTCGTCTCGGCGCTGAGCCTGCTCAGCAGATTCCTCCATCAGAGTATTCTGGTCCTCTGAAGAATATAACTGTGCTAGGAGCTCTGAATTGATGAAGTCTTTCACCTGTCAGTCACCACAGAAAAACACAAATGGGGATGGGTGAGTGGCGAAGGGTGGAAACATGGCTGTGGCACCTAGAGTCTGTGAACGAAAGCCATGCAGTCCACCCTGGGAAAAAGGAAGCGCCGTGCAGCTGCTTACTCCTAGTTTAATCGTTCCCCTTACTATCTCTAGTACTGCTGCAAGTAGTGGTTTCTGTCTGTCAGCACAGAAGGGCAACAAAAATGAGTGAAAGTGAGGTGAGGCCCTGCCACCAGCAAAACAGGGCCCGTCAGCTGTGCAAATGTCCCTCTGGTGTGGCCCAAGGCTGCCTGGAATACAGGAGAGGGGAGGAACCATGAGGTGAGGGTGATATTTTCAGTAGAAGATGTTGACACGAAGAAACTTGTGTAGTAACACGCGTTTTGCATTCCTGGGCATTCTTGGTTCTTTAGATAGTGTTTACCAAAATCACTGGAAAACCATGAGACTCCTAGTTCAATGTCTTCAAAGTAGAAGTAGCAGCCATAAATAGACATTTATTAAATATAGAATCTCTCTCTCCTTCTCTTTCTAGCAATATATATATATATATATATATATACACACACACACACACACACACACACACATATACATTAAATACATATATATATATATGTATCTGCACATGGATTTACAAAAAAAGTTGATTTACCAAAGAAACTGGAAGATGAAACAGACTGTTACATGAGAGAGCTAAACATTATCTAGAGTCAGTTAATATTTCCAAGAAAGGCCAAAACCCAGTGTAGTTAATTGTTTTAAATCCAGATAGATAACAGAAGACCTGTCAGATGCTCAAGACTCTTGTGTGACTCAGAGAGGATAAGCATCTAAAACACATAGTTTCATTATTTTTTTAAAGGTATCTAAACATGTAAATAATTCTAATTAAAAATTTGGCTAACTTTACAACATCATGGCGGGAAAATAAAAAGTGTTCCTGTTATGGAAGGAATTGGCAAGTGACACACAGAGCGGCAGCAGAATGGAAGTAAAATAAAAAAGATCAATCGATCCCCACTGATGGAGTAAACTTTTTTATTTTACATCCATTCTGCTGCCGCTCTGTGTGTCACTTGCCAGTTCCTTCCATAACTTTCCTACATGCTTTTTGTATTTGGTAAGCCAAGAGTGATTCAAATGTGGAAGCAATCTAATACACACTGTGTATCCATGGAACTCTGGTGAGGCAGAAGGTTTCTGATAGTTATGATCGTCGTGAAAGGTCAATTTGGCAGAATGTAGAGCTCTTGAATGCTAAGGAAGTTTTGAACTTTATACTCTTGAAAATGGGGAGCAGTGAAAAAGTTTTTAAGCAAGTAAATGAAATAATAAAAGAGAGTTTTTAGGAAAATTTGTCTGGATGAAATTGAAAAGAATTAGCAAGGATAGGAGAACTATTCCTTAGGGGGCTACTAAGATAATTTGTGAGATTTAGGGATAATTCGGTGGAACTGAAGAGGTGTGTAAATGTAAATGACATTACAAAGGAAAAACTAACTCAACTCGGTGCTATTTGTATATGAAGGGCAAGGAAGAAAGGAACAAAGATAAGACAAGTATTGACATTTGACTGAATGGAAGAATAGAAAACCAAATGGCACAAATGAAAGCTACATTTAGAGGAAAGGCAGTAAATTTGGCTTCGAGAGTTTTTTACTATCTTCATTGAAGATTTATTCATCTGTAAATACACTTGCCAGTGCCCAAGGGGGCACGGACATCGGACATTCTCCACTGTCGGGTGCGTGCGTGCATTTGGAAACACATTGCAATTTAAGACTCAAAACCAGGCAATTTTCCTGGCGTTGATCAACAGTTGAGTCAGCTCTTTCGAAGCTTTACATCTTGCTGGAGTATAGCTTAGGGTATTACATACAATTTAAAAGAAGATTCTTCCAGGAATAGATTTGAAGCAGATCTGAACTGAGAATCAGTTGTTGAACCACGAAACAAAATGGTAAAGGGCTATTTCAGCATTCCAACCAAAGACCTGCCTTGAGTCTTCCATATCTCTTCCATATTACGGTTACACACTAAAACCTGCTGCCCAATATCTTTGGCCATGTTGTGAAATTATACAGTGTTAATAACATGAGAGAACAGTGGCCTGCCTTGCAAGGACCCAAGTTCAATCCCCGGTACAAAAAAAAAAAAAAAAAAAAACAC